GGTGCTATTATTATCCCTGTTTTACAGTTGAGGAAACTGAAGCTGGCAGAGGCTAGGTGACGTGACCTGGGTCACACAGTAAATGTCTGAGACAAGATTTGAATTCAGGTCTTCCTAATCAAGGAATAGGCCCAAGGTGGTCCCTAATGGGTAGAAAGTGCCCGCCTTTCTACTTTAGCTATCTCACCCTTGACTAACTGATATTTCTGTCCTTTTCTCTCTTCGTATTTATTGTCTTATGATTGATTCCACCAAGTACCCTGAGTCACAACGGTCATTCTTTGTGTCTGAGATGACATATTGTTGGCATTTTTAAAGAGTGTTTATTAATATTATACTACTAACCCTTTACTGTAGATATATTTTAATTATGATTTTTTTAAAAAGAAGCAAACCTGTTGTTTCAGTAAATTAATGAAGCCATTGGGAGTCAAAGAATGTCAAACCATAGGATTGTGAACTGAAAGGGCCTTTAGAGAGCATAGTATAAGGCTCTGTATCTATGTTCCTATTATCTAATCCAACTTTGTCATTATGCTGATAAAAATCCTGAGATCCAAAGTGGCAATTGTCCACAGTCCCACTGAGAATGAAAGGCAGTATGGAGTGATGGAAAGTGTTGTATTTGGTCAAGGGCCCTGGCACCTCTAGATCTGTGATCCTGTATCACCTCTGCTCCTTGCCTATCTTCTCCTAGGACAGAGTAGAAAACAGATCAACAACTCCCTGGCACAAAGCTGGAGCTGCTGGCCATGCCCCAATATAAGCTGCTCCTTGTGCCAAGATGGCACTCATGCACTCTGATAAAAGTGTGAAGTGAAGGCGATGGTGGTAATTAGGAAGAGGGCTAGGGAGGGAGGGAAGTTCACAGTCAGAGTCCAAGCCAGTCAGAGTCAAGTCTCTCAGGCAGAACCCCACTGACAGCCAAGGAAGAGTAGAGTTCTCCAGCCTGTAATCATGGCCACGTGGCTGCTCATCTCTGTAAGAGAAAGAGCACTGGACTGGGATTCAGGACACTGGGGTTCATGCAGTAGAGATGGTCTTGGATTAGGGGCAGAAGATTTATCAATCTTCTGCCCTGCTCCTTAACTCCCCCTTCTCCCAATTTTGCCATTAACTCTATATTACTTTGGACACAGTTCTTCCTGGGCCTCAGTTTCCTTCTATGTAAAATCAAGGTATTGGATGAGATGAGCTTTAAGATTTCTTCTAGTTCTGACATTTTGTGACTTGGCTCTGAGTTCTGGCTCTGCCACTGACCAACTGTGTGACCTTTGGCAACTTACTTCACTCTCTGGACCTCAGCATCCTCATCTTTAAAATGGGGATAATGGTATTCCACCTACCTCAGCCATTTTTTCCCTGAAGAAAGCACACTATAAATGTGAGTTATCATTATTATTGTTCAGTTGCCAAGTCTTGCTAATTTTCTCTCCATAGTGTATCACTTGTGCCTGGCCCCTTCTTTCCATTCACACTGCCACCACCCTCAGTTCACCTTTATCTTCTCTTACCTGAATTATTGCAGCAACCTCCCAGTAGGACTCTCGGATTCCACTCTGTCACTTTTCTAATCTCCACACAGCTGCCAAAAGAATCTTTTTTCATATACAAGTCTGACCCATACTGCCCTGCACAAGAAATGGCTTTTTATTGCTTCTAGGATAAACCACAAACTCCTCAATCTGGCATTTAGAGTTCATCACAATTTGGCTCTCGGCTACCTTTCTAGACTTCTTGCCTTATTGTTTGCCTTCACATATACTTATTTTCTAGCCAAACTGACTTCCTTGATTTTTCCCAGACTTGGAATTCCATCTCCGCCAAGCTGTCCTGGGCCTTTACCCAGGCTGTCCCCCAGGCCTAGAATGCACTCCCACCTCAGCTGCAGGTCTTACTGGTCCTAGTTTCTTTCTTTTTTAAAAATTTATTTTGATTTATCAACAATCACTTCCATAAGCTTTTGAGTTTTAAATTTTTCTACTCCCCCCTCACCTCCCTCTCTAAGGCAGCGTACAATCTGATATAGGCTATACATATGCATTCTTATTAAACATATTTTCACATTAGTCATGTTGTAAGGAAGAATCAGAACCAATAGAAGGAATCACAAGAAAGAGGAAACAAAACAAAACAGAAGGGGAAAAAAAAGAGCAAATAGTATGCTTCAATCTGCATTCAAATTCCATAGTTCTTTCTTTGGATGTGGATAGCATTTTCCATCATGAGACTTTTGGAGATGTCTTAGATCCTTGCATTGCTGAGAAGGGCTAAGTCTATCAAAGTTAGTCATAGCACAACATGTCTGTTACTGTGTACAACACTCTCCTGGTTCTGCTCACTTCACTCAGTATCACGCCATACAAGTCTTTCCAGGTTTTTCTGAAGTCTGTCTGCTCATCATTTCTTGTAGCACAATAGTATTCCATTACATTCATATACCACAACTTATTTAGCCATTCCCCAATTGATGGGCATTTCCTCCATTTCCAATTCTTTGCCACCACAAAAAGAGCTGCTATAAATATTTTTTGTATTTGTGGGTCCTTTTCTCATTTTTATGATATTTTTGGGACACAGCCCTAGAAGTGCTGTTACTGTATCAAAGGGTATGCACATTTTTATAACCCTTTGGGCATAGTTCCAAATTGCTCTCCAAAATGGTTGGATTAGTTCACAACTCCAACAATGCATTAGTGTTCCAATTTCCCCCATCTTCTCCAACGTTTATCATTTTCTTGTTTTATCATGTTGGCCATCTTATAGATGTGATATGGTACCTCAGAGTTGTTTTGATTTGTATTTTTCTAATCAATAGTGATTTAGAACATTTTTTTCATATGAATATAGATGGTTTTAATTTCTTCATCCGAGAACTGCCTGTTCGTATCCTTTGACCATTTATCAATTAGAGAATGACTTGTATTCTTATAAATTTGACTTAGTTCTTTATATATTTTAGAAATGAGGCCCTTATTAGAGAGACTGGTTGTAAAAATTCTTTCCCAGTTTTCTTCTTCCCTCCTAATCTTGGTTGCATTGGCTTTGTGCAAAAACTTTTCAATTTAATGTAATCAAAATCATCCATTTTACATTTCATAATGTTCTCTGTCTCCTGTTTGGTCATGAATTCTTCTGTTCTCCATAAATTTGACCGTTGCTCTTCCCTTGCTCTCCCAGTTTGCTTATAGCATCAGCCTTTATATCTTAATCATGAACCCATGTTGACTTTTTTTTGGTGTATGGCCTAGATTCTTTCAAAGCTCAGCTGATATGCTATTTCCTCTGGGGATGCCTTTCTTGATGGTATTTGCTATAATTTCTTCTTCCTTCTTTCTCCAATGATCAGTTGTATACTGATCCACCAATATATATTTATTAAGCACCTACTAGGTGAATTTACAAATACAAGAGTTGGTGTCTGTCCTGAATGAGATTACATGTTACAAGGGTTTGGGAGGTAGGTTATAATAAGTAGATGTTCATAGCTCTGAGTGGTACGATCAGAGTATTGGATTGGGAATCAGAGGCCTTTGATTCAAATCCCATCTTTGTTATTTTCTGTCTTCTTGTGGTTCAGTCATTTAAGTCATTTCTGACTCTTTGTAATCCATCTGGGGTTTTCTTGGCAAAGACATTGGAGTGGTTTGCCATTTCCTTCTCTAGTTCATTTTACATTTGAGAAAACTGAGGCAAAGAGGGTTAAGTGACTTGCCCAGAGTCACACAGCTAGTAAGTGTCTGAGGCCAGAGTTGAACTCATGTAGATGAATCTTCCTGACTTCAGCCCTAGCACTCTATCTACTATGCCACCTAACTGCCCATTCTACCTGTTTGCCCTTGGGTAAATCACTTAATGTCTTTGGGCCTCAGTTTCCTCACCTGTAAAAGGAAGAAGTTGAACCAAATGACTTTTGAAGTGCCTTCCACTTCTAAATCCACAGTCATATAATATACACAAGATCAGTTCAAAGTGATGGAAGTAGGAGGAGAATCCTGTACAAAGGGCATGGAGGCAGGAGATGGGATGTCTTCTGTGGAGATGACAGCAAGTAGGCCAATTCGACTGGAACAGAAGAGTGTTTGTATCCCTGCAGTAGAACATAAGCTCCTTGAGAGCAACAATTATTTTTCATTTTGTCTTTATGTTCATAGTGCTTAACACAGAGGCTTGTGTGACACACACACACACACACACACACACACACACGGTAAAGTACTTAAGAAGCCATGCAATATGATATCCTTTATGAGTGAGACATATTTCTATGTTAGCCTTATTACCAAAAAAAAAAGCAAGAAAAATAAAGTGAAAGAAAATATACTTTTAGCCTGCATTCAGAGTCCATCAGTTCTCTCTTTGAAGGTGGATAGCATTTTTCATCATGGGCCCTTTGGAACTGTCTTAGATCATTGCATTGATTTGCTCTTCTCTATTTGCCACAGTCCATCTTCTGTCTCTGTGCCTTTGTATAGATGGTCTGCTACTGGTCTCCAATGCCTGGAGTGTTCTTTCTCCTTACTTCCACATCTAGGAATCTCTCACTTCCTTCAAAATTCTTTTCCAGAGCCAGCTCCTACAACAGGTCTTTCCTGAATCCCCTAGTTGTTAGTTCTTACTGCTGTAAACTGTTTTTGTATTTCCTTACTCTACATGTATATAGACTGTTCTCCCCTAGCCTCCCAGTAGGATATAACCACCTTGTAGGCAGAGATTTGTTTGTTTTTTTGTCTGTATCCCAAGCACAGTCAGTGCCTGGCACACAGAAAAACTTAACTGATGTTTGTTGCATGAAATGAATTGAAAGAATGAATGAATGAATTTAAATGAATGAATTTCTTTAAAGTCTAGTACATATCAAAGGTTCTGCAGTGTATAGAATAGCTGGTAATATAAAGTATCTTATTTTTAATTGAATCTGATGAATTTAGAAATCCTCAATAGCCAAGAAACACTAGTTATGAATTTTTTTTTATTTTAAGTCAAAAGACCCAGCCCATACTGGTAAAAATAACATATGACACAATATACAAAAATGTACAAAATGCCAACCCTTGCCCCCAAGAAGATCTCTGAGCAAGCAAATATAGTACTCCTTGAGGAAAAGTAACTGAATTATAGCTCTTCCGGAAAATAGAAGCCAAATAAAACCAGCCTGTCTGTATTTATAGTTTACATATTATTGCAAACCTATCTCTTATACATGTTTCCAGAGTATTCATGATTTAGATATTATTGGGACATCCAAATAGGTGTTCTGAGGCCAGAGAAAAACTTTTGCTTATGCACATCCAACTCTTTCGATTGAGCAGGATTTGTACACATGGACACTTCCCATTGTTGAAGGTTCAGGTAGCCAAGATGGTCAGGTTAAGTCTAACTCAAAGAGGCTGTAGTGGTAGCTGCACTGGACAAATTTGGCCAGCAAAGCTGCCTATGTGAGAGTATGAGAGCAGCATTTAGTGACCACTAAATTTAACTCTGAGTATGTTATAACCTAGTAACAACTTAAATTTAACATGCTATATGTGTCTTATCCCTAGATTTACAAAGTTAAATTCCCTGCCATTATCTAAACGTTTCTGGTAATATGTAAGGCCTACTTAATTAGTTTACAGCTCCTATAGGTTCTATCTTGGGCTCGATGTCTAAGTCTTTCTGTAACACTGGCATAGGAAAGCTTAAATACTGTTATTATGGAGGGAAGGTAGATCACAGAATATCAAATCCAGCAGCCAATCCCACTAGTTCTCAGGTACTATCTCTGCCACATTCTTTCCTTCATCCAGCAATTCCTGCAGGATAGGGTCATCACCACTGAGTGCAGAGTCAGACACTCGGGAGGTAATGACGTTGTAGTCATCCTCTTTCTCTAAGAAATTCTCCCTGGCTGCAGTCCCAGGGGTCAGTCTGTTTTGCCAAGCCAAACGCAGCAAGGAACTTTGCTCCACATCTTTCATTTTGAGGTATGTAGGAAGCACATTGCCTTGCTCAAATGTCTTTTGAATAAAGTTCTTCCATATCTCTCTGCAATGTCCAAAGGCACATAGGGCTGTGAGATCACCCACAACAACCAGTTGTGATTGGGCCCTGGTCATCACTGTGTTAAGTAGCTGGGGCTCATTGAAGAATTCCAAGTGGGTGGCTGAGTTGCTGAGCAGGCTGTCCTGGGTATGTACTGTGCTGAGGATGACTACTCGGAACTCACGACCTAAGTGAAGAGCCAAGACCAAAAAATCAGAACAGAGCTAGATTAGGTAGGAGCCGTTAAAGGTAGAGGAGCCAGATGACCCTAGGAAGGAAACTAGGGCAGAGATGAAAGAGTTAGGGGAAACTACCCTGGAAACCCTTTTCCATTGTAGGGAAAAGAAACAGCCAAAGCCAGAGCTGTTAGACATTTGGCCCTGGGCCCCAACCTGAGCCCCTCCAAATAGGCCTAGTTTTTTTTTTAATTAATATATTTATTTTATTTTTAATAGCATTTTATTTTCTCCCCAATTACATGTCAAGACATGTAATTTAGCATTAATTTTTACAAGATTTTGAGTTCCAAATTTTTTCCCTCCCTCCTTCCCTTCCCATTCCCCAAAATGGTAGGTAAAAATTAATTTATTTTATTTTGCTAAATATTTCCCAATTACATGTAAAGAATTTAATATCCATTTTTAAAAATTGAGTTTCAAGTTCTCTCCCTTCTTCCCTTCCTCCACACCTTGAGAAGTTAAGAAATATATTGATGATACACGTGAAGTCATGCAAAACTCATTTTCATAGTAGCCATGTTACAAAAGAAAATACACATGCCTCAATCTATACTCAGAGTTCATCAGTTCTCTCTCTGGAAATGAATAGCATTTTTCATCATGGGCCCTTTGGAATTGTCTTGTTATCATTGTCTTGATCAAAGTAGCCAAGTCTTTCACAGTTGAAACATCTTTAAAATATTGCTGTTACTGCGTACAATGTTCCCCTGGTTCTGCTCATTTCACTTTGCGTCAGTTCATATATGTCATCCTAGGTTTTTCTGAAACCATTCTGCTCATTATTTCTTATGGCACAATAATATTACACCATAATCAAATACTGCAACTTGTTCAGCCATTCCCAAACAATGGGCAACCCTTCAATTTCCAGTTATTTGCCACACAAAGAGAGATGCTATAAATATTTTTGCAACTAAATAGACATCTCAAATGGAGTACCCCCCCATCTCCCTTCCACTGGACTCAGACATGTCACCTTCCAATTTTATGTCTCTGATACAAAATACTCACCTGGCACATTTTCAAAATTCTCCACCACCACTTCTCTCAGTTGCTCCTTCCCCAATTCCTCCTTCAGTCTTTTTACCTGGGGAATAGACCAACAGGAGAACAGGGGTCAAATAGTGACCTCAGCCCAGAATAAGCTCCTTCCTCAAGACTCCCACCCTGCATGACCAAACCCATTGCCAGACTTCAGCCTCCAAGCCAACCCCATCAGAACCATATGCCACTGTCTGGGGCCTTCTCCTAAGGGAAGAATCCATCACTACATACTCTGTCTCCTTGTTCAATACCACCTGACACAATAAAAAGATTAAGACACCTTCCTCAGATCATTTCATAGTTTACAAATCGTACCTCCTCTATGAAAAATTCATGTATTACTCAGAGAAAAGGCAATCTCTCTGCTGGGTCATGGGATTTCCCCCAACCCCTCTACTATTTCTACCCTGTCCTAAGAAACACTGGTACTTGTGATCATAAAGAACATGAGCTATTGAGGTGTTTGCGAAAGGCAATCATTCGACTACTACCTGTGTGTCTGTGTTTATCCATAAAGGATAAAGAGAGGGATAAGGACTAGACTTGAGATTTCATTAGTATTTGGAAGTCCCAGTTGAGGAAGCCCTCTACCAATACAGGTTGGCATCACTTCTTAGAGTTGCCTAGAGAGCTCTGAGAGGGTAAGTTACTTTTCCAACGTCACACAGCCAGTATGGGTGGGGGTAGGCCTTGAACCCAAGTTATACTGCCTTCATTAGAACATGCAGCCTTTTGAGCATGTTTATCTGGAAACATATATTTGATCAAGATGAATCATGATGAACCTCAGAGCTCCCTTCTTTTCTTCAGAGGAGAAAAATTTAGATCACAAAAGGATTCAAAGGTGATTACTTTCCTCCCTCCCCCACCTCTCCCTTCAACATTATGCATGCATACTGTTCAAGGATCCTCTGGAGGACTATAGGCTCCAGAGTGCTCACAGGACATTTTGAACAACTGTGGTTTGGAGGTGAGGGTTTATAGACAAAAATCCCCAAATCTGTTGGTTTTGTTAGATTTTTTCCCCCTCTTCATCCTTATTTTTTCCTTTAAAAAATAGTCTTTGTTATATGGAGTGGCTCTCATGAAGGGAGAGGGGTACTAAAAGAAATTAGGCAATGTGACAACAAAATGTATCAATAACATTTTTAAAGGGAAAATATATATATATATATATATATATAGGCAAGGTCCTAAGTGCCTGTTTGCAAAGGAAGATTCTATCTATTATCCCTGTGTGAGAGAGAAGATAGAGAGGAAGGGAAGGGCCAATTACCTGAGAGCCATGGGACACAACACAAATTTGCTTCTGATCAGGGCTGCCCCATTGGTAGACCCAGCCTTGATAGAATTCCTGTACCCTCTTTATGACCTCCTCTATTTCAGCCTTGTTTAACCATGATGCCATTGACATATCTTTCTCAGGAGTGCCAAACACATGGCAAAACATAAGCGGGTACTGCCAGGGATGTTCAGGGATTCCACTATCCTCAATGGGGATTTTGCTGGCCCCATAGAAATTGTGAAACACAAAGGGAATGATGGCTTTAGTGGTATGATAGTTTTCATGGAAGATGATCCTACACTGGGAGGCCAATTGGTGAGTCTCTTGTTGGTAGTACTGGAACAGCCGATTGAATAGTGAATGGTCAGCAGACTTCCTGTCCCCCACACTGAAGAGTTTGGGAGTGCTTTGCATGTGGTCCCCAGCCAGGGCAATGCGTGTGTCTAGGGTAGCATAAGCCAGTGGCATTATGGCTTCACACTCTAACATCTGAGCAGCCTCATCGATGAGGATGTGGGAAAAAAAACCAGGTGGCACATGAAGGTTGTGGGATGAGGTGGTAGTAGTGACAATAATAGGGTGCTGTTCAAGTTCATCCTGTGTTGGGAAACGGAAGGAGCACCCATCTTCTGAGAGGCAGCAGTACTGCAGTGTGGTTGGGTCTGTCTCATGGAAGGAGCTCTCAATGTTCTTGACCCTCAGGGGCATGGCCTCAGGGTGTCCAGTTGTGACATAGACATGAAAATACTCCTGGATGTAGACATCAGCAGCACTGCAGAGGGGAAACAAAAGCGGTTCAGAAGTAAGGCTATAGAATTACTTCTATTCAATTCAATAGGTATTTCCTACCTCTTATGTTAAAGGTACTGTACTAATTAACACTGAGGATACAAAGAAAAAAAATGATAAAAAGTCTCTATCCTTTAAGGAGGTTAAATTTTGCCTGGAAGTCCAAACTGTACCATGTAAAATGGAGTATCAGAGAAGCAAAGGAGAGGTCCAAAGTGGTTGAGGGAAATTTGGTCATCTGTCAAGAAGCATTTATTACACACTGTACTAAGCACTTTGTTCAGGGAAAGGAGGGAGAGAGAGATGGGGAGAAGGGGTGGGACAGGAGACAGAGACAGAGAGAATCCTAAGGAATCCCACTCTCAAAATTGCTTAGGAATTTTATTTCTTCTAAGTAGTCAAGTGTTAATTATCCAATTTATTGGTTATCCATCATAAAAGTTTAATCCCAGGGTGTCCCCAACCTACTATCTAGGTAAATTCAGAGATGGCAGACTCAGATTTGAGGGGGAAACACCCAGTGAGGAAGGTGGAGCTTCTTCCCACCAGTTTGACAGTATGTTCCAAAGAAGTCCGTGCATTAGCCACAACTCAAATTACCTATATCACTGGCTCAGTCCAGTGGTGCAGAAAATTAAGAACTGACTACACAGTACCAACTGGGAAACTGGGCTAGCAGAAGGTTCCCTCAGATGAAATGGAATGACTGAAACAGCTGGGCCCCAAAGAGATCCCCTTTCTGAGTCTTCTTTTTATTCTCCCCCTCTAAATCCATCTCTACTGGGGTGGGGTTGGAAAAATGGCTGCCATCAACCCTTCCTAGGCCCCAGAGGGTAGGGTATTCAAAATTTTCTGGCATTCTTGACTTTGCCAGTAGGAAAAACCATCCATTTTCCTCTAATTTGGAGGAATCAAGGCCCTTTTAAAAAAAAAAAAGCAATTTTTGCCTAGATAAAAGAACTAATAAAAGCAAAGAACATAAGATTTTTTACAAAGGGTTCAGCTTGTCTTTGTTCCTCAATCCAGGTTCAACCAGGACCTAATCTTAATTTAATGTTGGTACAATCCTGGTAGCATGCTGCTCTAATGCTGGTTCAGGCCTAGTTGAATCTTTTGGTTTGGTCCAGCTCCATACACAGTCTTATCTGTTCCAGCTGCGGTCCAATGATGATCCAGTCCTGGTCCAACCTCAGTCCATCTTTGGTCTAACCTTGGTCCAAGTGATGGTCTAACCATGATCTAATCCTGGTCCTACCTCAGTCCAACCAATCTTGGTCTAACCTTGATCTAATACTGGTCTAAACTCGGTCAAAATGAACAAGGTCTAATCCTGGCCCAACCCTCAAACAGCCTGGGTTCAATTTTGTATAGGTACAGCACAGGCCTCTAACTTATTTCCATCTTCTCCCCCTCTCTATTACTCAGCATAGGGATGAAGTTTTGAAACCAACAGTGATCTATGCCCTAGTGTAGATGATTCTTAGCTTATATAACCCTAAATTCAGAGTCTTTTGAAGCACACCAAATGGACTTTGGCTAGAAACATAGCCCAAAATGGACAAGGGCAGTCAACAAGCAAAAAAAGTAATTTATTTACAGGAAGTCCCTGCTCTTGTTGGAGAATTAGCCAATCAGCACAGAAGGACATAGAAGCTGGCATGCCGTTCCAAGGCCACGAAGATTAGGAAACCCCAGTGACTAGATTAGGTGATATTTTGAGAAAACATAGCAAGCCAGATCAGAGGAAAAGGGAAGTAATAAGCAATTGAAAACAAAAATCAGGGAAAAAAAAAAGACCTTCTCTGTAGACAGAAAGAAAATTACTCTTTTCTGTGCAAAGTAGCATTAATGATTATGAACCAATACCCTGATAGCCAACAGCAACATTTACACTGCAATCCCAGACTCAGGTCCCTTTCCTGGAACAGAACTAGGAGTTCAACATCCTAAAGAACATTTGTGATTAATTTCCTACAAAAATGTATCCCCTTGCCTTTGTCCACACTGACCATAACCCAAAGCCCAGTCTCAATTGAAGTGTGACTAATCCTTATGTCAAACCCGATTACCAAGTCTTTTTTCTCTCCAACCCCTTGAGCCAGTGTCCACTCGCATTTCCCACTGGCATCTCAAATTGAACATTTCTCACAATGAAAATGAACCCATCATTTTCCCCTTCTTCCTAAATTATCTCTGGTAATGGCTGCACCAGCATCACATTCTCCCAGCTTGAAGTCATCTTTGACCCTTCCTTGTCCTACATGTCACATATGCAACCAACTGGCAAGCGTTATAGTTTCTACGTCCCCCATGTTTCTAATCCAGCTTTTCTCCCCTACCACTTCCCCCTCATTTAGCCTTCTTCTTTTTTCATCCAAATTATTGCAATCGCTTCCAAACTAGACTTTCTGCTGATAGGAGTTTACAGATGGTAGATCCTGGCCCCTTTCCCATCCATTCTCCATACCACAGGCTGGATAATCTTCCCAATGCATTGCTATGATCGCATTACTCCTCTCCTGAAAAATCTCCAGTGGCTGCCCATTCCATACTGAATCAGGTTTCAATTCCTGATCTTGGTATTCAAGGCCCTTCACAATCTGTCCTGACCCTACCAAATGAGCCTATTCGTCTTCATGTATGCCAAGTTTTATCAAAATTAAGACTACTTTGTTCCGGGAAAGGACCCACATGTACAAAAATATTTATATCAGTTCTTTCTGTGGTGGCAAAGAATTGGAAATTGAGGGGATGACCATCAACTGGGGAATGGCTAAACAAGTTGTGGTATATGAATGTAATGGAATACTTCTGTGCTATAAGAAATGATGAGCAGGCAGACTTCAGAAAAACCTGGAAAGACTTGAATGAACTGATGTTGAGTGTAGTGAGTAGAACCAGGAGAACATTGTACACAGTAACAGACACATCGTGTGATGACTGTGATAGACTTAGCTCTTCTTAGCAATGCAAGGATCTAAGACAACTCCAAAAGACTCATGATGGAAAACGTTGTCCACATCCAGAGAGAAAACTATGGAGTCTGAATGCAGATGGAAGCGTACTATTTGCTCTTTTTTTTTCTTCTGTTTTGTTTTTTCTTTCTTGGGGTTCCTCCTATTGGTTCTAATTCTTCTTTACAAAATGATCATATTTAATAGGAATGTATATGCAATCTGTATCAGATTGCATGCCATCTTGGGTAAGGAGGCGGGAAGGGAGGGGGAGGAAGAAAAATTTAAAACTCAAAAGCTTATGGAAATGAATGTTGAAAACTAAAATAAATTAATTAAAAAAAATACTTTGTTCCCTGTTTTCATTCTAACCTCCCCCATCTTTGTGCTTGTGCTCATATTCTCTTTCATATATAAAATAGAGCCACTGGTGTGTTGGCAAATGTTCAACAGCTGGCCCTGGTGAATAGGAAGGATTAAAAAGAAGACAGAAAGCACCAAGACAAACTTCTCTTCTCAGGGACCTACAAGTGGTCATCTCATCTGCTCAGACACCTCCAGAGACCAGAAACTTATTTACCTACATCCAGGGCTGTGCTGGTACACAGTCTCAGGGAGGAGGCAGGCATTACACAAAACACACTTTTAAAGTTAAATATGCATTGTTAACATTTAAATCTTTCTTAAGTCTAGGCAAATAAAACAAAAAGTCAAGGCCTGATTTGTAGGGTTTGCTTATTTCTGAAGTGTGTGTGTGTGTGTGTCTGTGTGTGTGTGAATGTTCACACTGAAATTTTTAACAATCAGAAAGTTGGTCCAATTTGAGCCGACCCAACACACTCCTGAGGAGCTTTCCACCATCACAAAATCAATCTTTTAACTGATAATGTTCCTCCCTTCAAGGTCCACCTCAGGTTCTGCCTCCACCATGAACATTCCACCCCCTGTTCACACCCATATCCAAGTGAAAGTCTTCTCTTTCCTCATTTTGCCCGGCTCTTCTTTGCCCCAATCACATTCTACCTTGTATCAGCTCTATGTGTGTAACCTGGAGAAGTGAAAACAGGTGGACTTCATGACAGCTGTCTGAATATTTGAAAAGCTGCCATAAGGAGGAGGGATTACTTGACACCAAAGGCCAGAAACTAAAGTCCCATGGGAGAGAGGAGTTGCAAAGAGAGTTTTTTTTAAGCTGACCACTTCAAATCTCATCACTGTACTGCTAACTGTGTCATAGAGAGTCAACATGTTCCCACTTCCTTCAGCTGCTTCTTACCACTGGAGGGTGGAGCACTAAACTCCACCCAAAGCTTTCCTTTATAGAGTGTAAGATCTGGACTTTCCATTCACTCCACTTTCCATCAGCAGCTCTGCTTGGTTTCAATCCCACACAACAGGGTACCCAGATATCCCTCCCCACCCCACTTTACAGCTTCTTTTTAATATGTTGTTTTCCTCATTAGATTGGAAATCACTTGAGGGCGGTTACTGTCTTTTCTTATTTGTCCCCCAGACCTTAGAATAGTAGCAGGTGCTAAGCACATGTTTATTGGATTGAATGGAATTGAAAAAACTTCTCAACATTGAGAGTTGTCCTGCCTGGGAGAGGTGGTGGTGCCCCCTTTTCGGAGGTCTTCAGAGGTTATATAGGCAGGGATGTCACAGTGAAGATTCCTTTTCATTTAAGGGCTGGACTAGATGGCCCTTCCACCTCCAAAATTCTGTGAGTCTGAATCTGTGTATATGTTACCTGTAAGAAAGTTATGTCCATTTTAACATTTGTATCTCTAGTGCATCACACACTACATTACAGTGCACTTGACTCTTTTAGACTGCACTGGACTATACTACACCTGTGGGCAGGCCCACTACCTACTGGGCACCTAATAAATGGGAGTTGAAGGGAGCCCCAATCTTGACTGAAAGAAGGTAGCCCCCACCCCATTCCCAGTCCCAGTCTAGCTTACCTGTCAGTGTGGGTACAGATCAACACCTTGGTGTTTGGCTGTTTGATCACCTCCAGTGCAGCCCAGGCTAGTGTGTGCGTCTTGCCTGTCCCAAATGGGCCATAAATGAGCAGTGGAGACACTTGTCTCTTCCCACTGGCTGTGCCTGTGATATAGGAGATGGCCTGTTTCTGCTTAGCATTACAGAAGATTTCCTGGGTAGGTGGCGTCAAAGAAGGCAGAGAACAGGCAGGTATGTTAGGTACCACCACTCTCTCATTGTGAAGTGCGTCAATGGCTTGATGCCACTTCCCAAATACCATCCTGTCAATTTGGAACTGGATTTCCATAAGCTGAGAATCTCCATCCTCAAGCCTCAAGGCAGAGCAATACTGGGCTGGCAACAGCAGCCACACACTTAGCTCTGAGGTGGTCTTGACTTTCACCTGAACTTCATACACACGGTTGTCAGGGGCAGGGATGGGTGCCACATAGGCAGTGCTAACGGCCCTGCTTAGCAAGGAGCCCTGGTCTGTGTCTGGTGTCAGAAAGCAAGGAATTCGTCCCTTGACATGTGATTTTCCTTGTGCTTCAAACTTCATGCCCATTGCTGAGGTCTGCACCTTGGAGGATAATGTGCCTTGTACCTGAAGGTTCAGTCTGTGGAAAAAAGAACAATGAACTGGTGGGCTGCACCTCTCTGGCTCTCCTCTAACCCATCTAACTCCCTCAAACATCACTCCATTTCTGTTCTGGTATCATCTCTTTATCTCCTCTGACTCTGATTATCCTAGACAGCTGAGGGCATCATAGAGCAACAGTAGAACAGCTGATTCAAGACAGCTAATTGATCACAATAGGGAACTCAGCAACCTCACCCCCACATCACTGCCAGACCCTGACAGCAAAACCCTAATTCCTGACATTTAGACTAGGGGTTTCCAATGTATTTTCCTTCAATGCATATATTAATTCATTCAAATCTCACAAATCTCTTAGTTACATGGGTTGGGTATTATGATCCCCACTTGGCAGATGAGGCCCAGAAGTGACATGGTTTGCCTGAGGTCATAGAGCTAACTAGTGGTAGAGCCAGGTATCCTGGCTCACAAATCTGTCAGCACCCTTCTTGGGCTCCCTGCTTCAGGTCCCCCCCACCTGACTTCCCTACCCCAGCCAATGACTCCATCCCATTTTTACCTGGCCACCAGCTCCTGCTGAGCCTCTTCCTCCACATACAAGAATTGGTGCATCCTTTCCCGATAGCTGGCCAAAGTTATAGGGATCTTGGCCGAAGCCATTGACTTGTAGTAGTCCAGTTCCTGGGAGCTCACATTGTACTTGGCTAGCAGCTTCACCTGCTCAGCTGTCCTGGCCACACCGGGCACCACACAACGATTCCCACTGTGCCAGTGGGTCATCTCCAGAAGACAACCATGGTCCTGGATACAGGTAGGCAGGATTCCTGGGCCCTCCGTCTGGCCCACCTGAACATGTAGCTTCTGGACCAGGACAGGCTGGTGTCCAAAGTCAAATGCCACCCACTGATCATAACTGCCAATGGTAATACACTCCACATGTACCTCCACGTGGAATGTCATTACTGCAGCACCATGCACCCGGAACTTTGAGCCGTGGGCATAAAGTTGTCCTGGTGGAAGCTCAGGACCCACCAAGGAGAACATTGCTCCCATATGCTGTTTGAGGAGGGCCACATGTCTTAGCGGTCGTCGGTACTGCAGAGGTGGTGGGGAGAGAGATGGTGCAACCTCAGCAGTGTGTGACCCATCTATTCCTACCCTTCTCTCCTCCTCCCTTCCTTTCCCCTGGTCCCCTTCTTTTCTCCCAAAGCTAGGCCAGGGTCTCAGGCCGTAGCTTCTCCTCTACTAGCCGCCCCTAGAGGTCAAGGTCCATTCTAGCACAAGCCTTCCAGACTCCTAATTCCCTCAGTCATACCTCCATGGGTTACTCTGTGACCTCACATCTTGAGTGATTGCCTCAAGTAATGAGGATGGAACTGGATTAGCCCCTGAAATGCTAGGACTAGGATGAAAACTTCACATACATATTCACTCCCCCAAACTGCGTCACAAACCTTGGAATGGATGATGAATTTCCAACTGCACTGTGATTTCTTGTCCTCTTCCCAGCACTGCAGGGGCTGGCCACAGTGAATGGTTATGTCACGTACAGACCTAGATCTCTGATGAGGAGCAGACAGACATAGGGGCCTGTTAGTACAAGGGATACTGCCCCAACTGACTGTTACCCCAACTATCCATGGGATCAAATTCAGGTCCTTCCCATTTTTTATCCCTCTTCTGAAGTCTCTCCTCATAGTCCTTTGCCTGAGCCCTACTCACCACTAGCGCTTCACTGCCATTGTCCTGATGTTCATGGAAAAGCCGGTCCTGGAAGAAAAGGAGTCCATGCTTCCAGGCTGAGTCTTCCTTCATCTGTATGGTCAGTGCCTGAAGAATCCATTCCTGCAGCTCTCCCAGGGAATGTGCTTTCATGCATCCATCTCCATAGGAACAGATATCCTGTCTTATAGAATGGAGAACTCAAAGAGAGTACTCAACTGGGGGACGAAGGCAACAAATTCCTTGCTCTGCCCTTTCCCCCATGCTGCCCCATGGAACAGTATTGAAGTCAGATAGAAAGCATATTGGATTTGGAATCAGAAGAACTGGGGTTTCAAATCCCAACTCTGAGACTTACTATCTACGTGACCTTGACCAATTCCCATCATTTTGACCCAATTGTCACATTTGTAAAATGAGAGGACTGAATTTAGATCACCTATGAAATTCCTTACAACTCTGAATCTATTATCCCATGAGACCATCTCAGTGTTCTGGTTTGGAGAGGGACAGGAACACGTAAAAAGGAATGATTAGTGTAGCCTTTTCCCACAAGCTTCATCCCCGAGCTTGGGCTCCGGCGGCTGGTCCACTTGTTTATATGAAATCTAGGAAGGAGGGCAAGTAGAGTGTAAGGTATCCAGTCTTTCACCAGATAGCTGAGCCTTAGGAAGTTGGGGACGGTAGTGAGGGGCAGTACTAAAGGGTGGTCTGGTTCCACATGTGATATAGTGGAAAGAACTCTGAACTTAGGTACCAGAATTCCACAACTGTGTCTGATTCTATAAGATCACTATAAGATCACAGGTCACTTAAGCTTTTCTGTGTCCACTTCCTTTTCTGAAAATTGGGGAAAATACTAGTCCTGCTTACTTCCTAGAGTTGTTCTGATGACCAAATGAGAAAACTCAAATCCCGTCTTTAGCATATAAGAGGCATTTCCTGGTCTCCTCTCCCCCCTCAACACATTATCCCATTCCTGCCACCACCACCCCATTCCCCACAGAGCCTCCTCTCTGAGATTAGCTTCCATTTACACTGTGTATTCGCCTTTGTATGTATTTACATTTTGTTCTTACATAGTTGTTTACCTGTTGTTTCCACATTTAAAAAAATTAGAATGTGAGGTCCTTGAAGGCACAGGATTGTGGTTTTGTCTTTCTTTGTATCCCCGGCACTGATCAGTGCCTGACACACTCAGAAGTGTGGCTCGTTGATTGACTGAGTGTAAGTAAGCCATGCACTGAGAGGATGGGGCTTGCTACTATGGATCCAAGCCTAGACAGTCCTCCCCATAGAAGCTTAATATTTGTTGATAAATGAAGGAGAAGAGATAAAGTGGGAAGAAAGCCCTCTGAGAGTAACATCTAACTCATCTTCCCTCCCTACACGGTGCCTAGCCTAAGGGTAAGCCACACAATCCATGCTAAACAAAGCACTGCCCTTCCCCACTCTGGGGCCTTACCTGGGGCACAGTTTGAATTCACTGACTCCAATGGTGAGAGGCCGATGTTCCCATAGGGCCCCCTGATCATAGGACACCCTCAGTTTGTGCCCTAGGGAGGAGCAATGATTCTTGAAACTCTCTTGAGAGCCGAAGGGCACATGGCAGGCCTGGCAGTACAGTTGGATCTGGGCTGAAGAGACTGGACTCCCATCATTACCACCATCCTCCCCACTGACCCTGGCCCTTCCTCCAGACTCCAAAGTGGCTTGAATCAAGTCAGGGCGAAACAGGTAGTCATTAGCCTCAGCTTCCCACACAGCCATTTCTACATCACTATGAGCATAAATGCAGTGGGTGGCTCCACGCTGACACGGCTGCCCTCGAGACACGACCATGCAATATTCTCGTAAGAGACCTTGCCTCAGGGGTTTGGGCCTGATCACCACTAGCTGGTTCTTACTTGCTACGTGTACCAGAATGGAGCCAGAAGACCAGTGCTCTGGGTACACCAGGTTTGGACCCCAGCGAGTCATCTGTGGAGGGCAGTTCTCAAAGCAGGCCTTACAGATTTCCAGAAAGTAGCCTCCAAATTCTGCCCAAATTTTCTCAACTGTTGTCTGGCTCCCGGGGGTCTGGTGATATGAGCTGTTCTGCACTTCAGCTTTCAGCCACAACCTGGGTATATAGTTCTGCCTTTCAAAAGTCCAAACCACTGCTTCCTCTGGGCTGCTGGCAAATGTGCACTGGCCATGCGTTCTGCAGCCTGTTCCACGTCGATAATAGCGGCACTCTTCATAGTGTCTGGGCTTGGGGAAGACGGGCCTGCGTCGAACCTTCCTCCACCCTTGGTGTGGAGGAGTTCCTTTGGCTCTTGCAAGGAGGATCTCACCAGGGCAATGGTGATCTATGATTTCCCATACATATGTGCTCTCATCCAGCGGCTTGGCACAGACTGAGCAGCCCACAAGAAGTTCCAACTGACTCTGAAGCTCATCCAGAAGCCTGGACAGTATTTCTCTCCCCTGGATGGTGGAGCTGGCAATGAAATAGCCAGAGCTTCTAGCTAAAACTCCTTCAGGTACCACAAACATTGGGTCAGCTGGCAGCAGGCAGAACAAGGGCCTGGAGGGGACTGGTCTTCAGGATCAGTTTCTTTCCTGAATTCAAACCCCTAAGGAAATAGGAAGAGTCAGAAGTCTGAAGAGGGAATTGGAAGGGGATGTGGGGCAGGGGAGGTGGCTCCTTTGAGGAACGGACTGTCTCTTGCTCCCTCTACGCCTGTGTTGGGCCCATCAGGAGAAGGCAAGTGGAAGCATGGCCCTGCTTTGGGAATATAAACTAAAGGAAGGAAATATAAACTAAAGACACTACAACTTATAGTGGAAAACATGGAAATCAATACCTAACTAATTACAACTCTGGGTATAGGATGTAAGGTAACAGGAGTGACCATAAGGACAAGGTGATCAGAGGTAGACAAGGTTAGTTTTGGAAGACTAAAATTTTGGAGCAAAATTTGGGAAGATAGAGGGACACAGTTTTTTTAACCATCTATAAAAACCAAAGGATAAATCCCTGACAGCCTCTCCTATGAATATTCCTCCTTACTCTCAACACCCAGGACTCCCCCAGGAGCTCATGGGGCAATCTGCTTTTTTTTTTTTTGGCTAGGCAATGGGGTTAAGTGACTTGCCTTGGGTCACACAGCTGGTATCAAGTGTCTGAGCCTGGATTTGAACTCAGGTCCTCCTGACTCCAGGGCCAGTGCTCTATCTAGTGTGCCACCTAGCTGCCCCCAGCAATCTGCTTTTGATGAGGAAGGGAAGGATTCTATGGTGACCACTCTACCCTAAAGAAGCAAGAGGGAAGGCAGACTGGTAGACACAGAGCTCTGCTCACAGTTGGGAAGAAGGTCAAAGTTTCCCTCCCACAGGTCCCTTCTTCCATCCCCATCCCCAATTCCTAGAGTTTACTAGAAGAAGAAATGTTCCAACATGCAGAGTGCCAAGCTTGCCCATGGTCAGGAGAAATTGTCACCACCACCATCATTATCATCATCTTCACCATTACTATCACCACTAAGGTATTACAGGGACAAAACAACTTTATGCAAAGATTCCCCTGGGGACTAATTTTCAGTGACATCTCCTGATCCTCCAAGGCTTAAGAGACTTATCAATTCATTTTACAAACTAGGAAACTGGGGCCTCTTTTCAAAGCCTTCTGAGTCCACTGAACTCCAGAACCAATACACCAAGCTCTCACCCAAGATTTCAATTAGAGGGGTGGAGGGACATGGTAAGGAAGCAAAAAGTCCTTGACCTTCAGGAGCCCTGAAGCTAAGGACAGAATCCACCTGGCCCCATTGACATAGGGCCTGTACAGATCTTGTAAAAAAAGTTGTTGGCATGTTCTCTCTCCCATACTAGAGTGTGAGTTTGTTAAAAGTTGGAACTGTTCAACATTGTGAGATGACCAGCTTTGATAGACTTAGCTCTTCTCAGCAATGCAATGATCTAAGACAATTCCAAAAA